TTAAATATATAATTTTAATACAAGTGTGTTTTGTAGTATATAAGACACCAAAACATAAATCAAAATATAAGATGAGTCATGTATGCGCTCCATCTTCTCAAAAGGTGGCATCGATACCTGTCTACTGATGACCTGAGAATAAGTTATTTTGAAAGAGTTTATCAGCATTAAAGCTGGTAAGTTCATAAGTATTTAGTGTCTATGTTTGTATCAAAATGTTTGAACCGTTTCTTGAAGTACGAGTTTGTAAACGTTTGTAGTAAAAGTATGTAAATGTTTGTAAAAGTTTGTAACTCCTAGAAAATCCTATATTTTCTACTAAAAGTAGCCTTCTACCAAGGCACAACTGTTTTGTATGTTTGTTTCTTGTAAAAGTGTGTAATTTTCCAAAGTGTAACTATCATTATCAAAATATAGTTTGTACATTAATGTTTAATTGAAATAATCACCAAATAAATGTAAAGGGTAAATTAATGTAGTACTGTAGTTTTGTGTTATAGGAACTACTGATGTACTAACTACCTTAAACCAGATTTATATCAAGGTATTATGTGATTAATTGTACCATACTATCGACGAAAAACACGACAATGTAAGTCGTTAAAAGTTATGATGTTTGGCACCTGTAGACCTGCAGATCCGACTGTAGTTAGCAGCAAGGTGTAGGATAGTCAATCCAGTATAGATCTATACGCAAACTCATGCTCTCCCTCCAGGAGATTCTGGTTACAACTCGGGCCATGACAACGAAGGCATGCTCCGATACAGTGGATCACATTTATGTTAACGTATTCTTGTATATGTAATGTATTGTTGCTCATCATAATATCGTTGTATATGTTCTCATTCTAGTATAGTTGTATATGTTCTCATCATAGTATAGTTGTATATGTTCTCATTCTAGATAGTTGTATATGTTCTCATCATAGTATAGTTGTATATGTTCTCATTCTAGTATAGTTGTATATGTTCTCATAGTAATAAGTAATGACTCATGAATGAACTGACTCTTGTATTCTTCATTCAACTAGAAGTAGTAAGTAGTATAACTCTAAACTATACCTATTATAGTTTATTAGTAAACTTTTTTGTATGATTGAATGTACTGAACTAAGATAAAAGTCTTTATATCTATACATATGTACATAATATATAACTAAGGATTCAACGACACTTGGAAGTAAAGTGGGTTATCTCTCCTAAGTCCTTCAAACCTATTTATATAACTATATATGTAGTAGACATGGTTTTAAAAATATATAAGTTTAAAAAATGTACAAGAAAGGTTTAGTATACAAAAGTAAATTTGATAAAGAGTTTGATGTGTAAAATAGTTTGATAAACAATTTGAAGTCATTTGTTTGGTAAAACAGTTTAAAGCATGAAAAATCCATTTACATGTTAGTTATTAATCATATGTGATTGATCTAATAACTAACATGGTTCAACTTGTATTCCTCCCATAAAGCATTTTAAATCATTTAAAAATATTTCAAAGGTTAATTAAGGGGTATGAACTCACCTGCAGTGAGTGGTTTGTTCGGATGTGTCGGACAAGGTGCTAGGTGTCAAGTGAGGACTTGAACACATATAATGGTCCTAGTTATCATATAATAAACATATCTGTATCTAGTTAGTCAATTAACAACTAATCAATAATTTTAAGACACTCTAGGTCATGGAAACACTTTGATTCAAGTGTTATAGGTACCAAAGGGTTGAATCTAAAGGTTGTATGGTTTATGGCCCATGAACCACCCCCTTATGGAGTTTACGACCCATGAACATTTCCCCATGAGTTTATGGCTGTAAACTCATGGTACTAAGTGCCAAATTGTGTTTTAAGGTCTAAGAAGTCATGATTGGGCATCACATGATCGAATCCAAGCCTTCGAAAAGTATTAGGGGCACATTATGGCTCCTTTGTGGAGTTTGCGGCCAAACAACCATATCCATTGGTGTTCATGGCCGTAAACTCTCTTAGGGACATGTTTTGATTGTTTTTTAAGGTCTTAAACAATTCTAGGAAGGATCAAGGTTGGCATCTAAGGCTTAGGAAGGGACTAATGTCCATTTTACCACCTAGAAAGGGGTTTACGGCCCAAGAACATCCTTGGTCGTAAACTCCTTCGTTGTTGTGTTATTTGCTGATTTTTCAAGTGTTGTAAAGTTCATATTAAGCACACAAGAAGCTAGGGAAAGTGTACTTACAAGATAGAATCTTGATTTGGTGTTTAAGGTCCAAGAACACTAGTGTGTGTTCTTGGTGTTTTGAAGAACACTTGAAGATCTAGCTATAAATAAATAATGAATGGACGAAATGATGTATAACTACTAGATGTTAGGTTATAACAACAAATCAAGTCAAGAAACACTTACGTTTTCGGAAGATCGGGTGAAGAATGGGATGATAGTTGAGAGAGAATGGCGACTAAACTCTAGAAGGGAAGTAAGAAATGAGGAGTTTGGGGAGTAAACTCATGCCTAAGGCATGAGTTCATGGCCACAAGGGATTTTACGGCCCAAACTATAAAAGCTTGGCCGTGAACTCCTTATTAGGGTGGTATGTGTGGTTTTGCAACTCCAAGACCCGAGACGGTACTTCATTTCCTTCGTTCGTTTAAAGAATAAACACTAAAAACGCTCAAATGCACTTTTAAATTGGCTAACAATTATTGGAAATGTAATTGACCTTTAATTGAAGTGATTGACTTTAGAGTTTGTCCGAATGAAAATTTCGGGTTGTCAAATATATTATGCTAGTTAGAACAATTCCTTGAAAATTGATATTTGCATGTATAATAAAGAAAACAGGTATCCAAGATATTTAGGGTTGCATGTACACCATAGGAGTGTTAGAATGCTCAAAACCCAACAGAACCTGAATCCCTGACAATTTTCAACCGCAATCACAATATTCATTGATGGTTTACCCACATGCTACCATGGAAGGCTTGCCCCATGTACCGATTTTCGTACATTAACCACTGGTCTTCAATCCTTTCGTACAATAGGCTCAAGGTCCAATCCTAGCAGTGTCTCAGCCGCAAGTCACAGGTGTGCAGACCTCGATTAACTAGGAATCCAGCTTCTATGGACCAAGTATCCATTTCTTAGTAGCACCAGAATTCAACCCCTTCATGGCGACTGCTCAACTATACAACCCGTCCACGCAACAGTACGGTAGAGCAAACCTATACATAGTTCACCCAACAAGGCAATACGCATTCCTTCAATTTGGATCGTAGCCTAACTTGCAACAACATCAACCATACATCTCGCCGGCAGCCATGCACGACCAGATGTACCGAGCCCCTACCAGGCGCAGCAACATAGGGCCTATGGCAGTATGTTGTACTCTTACATGGACAACCCTATGTGAAGTGCAAGCTCTAATTACAACCATAACCTGCTACAATACAAGATTCCACACATTGTGATGATATCGAACATCCCAAAATACGATGACACTACTGACCCAGATGACCACATCGACAACTATGAGTGGACGATGACATCTCTCAAGATGGATCATCGCTTCACCTGCACCTATTTCCCCTGCAGCCTAATTGGAAACGCAGGCAAGTGGGTTAAGTCTGTGAGGCCATACAATATTTCAAATTTTGAGCACTTGAAATACCTTTTCCTCAATAAGTTCATGCAGTTGAGGAAAGGAAAAGGAGACGCCAACTTTGTGATAGCGTGCAAGCAAAGAAAGGGAGAGTCGATTTGTGACTATTACAATCAATTCACGCTAGCTACCTTGAACGCCCCAGGATATGAAGAGTTCTTGGTGATGGGTGCCTTCACCCAAGGTCTGCTTCCTGGGCCCCTATCTAAGAAAATGCAAGGGACAGTCCCCAGATCTAAGGACGAGCTCAAGTTCTGTGTGGAAAAATACCTAATATAAATCGAAGGGGAAGAGCGAAAGGAGGAAAATCTCAAAGTTGTAGCCAATGCACACATCAAACAAGAGAAGGGGGCATCCCAATCGAGTTTAGCACAATAGGAGAGGGAAGACGGTAACCAGTAGAAACACAATCGCCACTCTAGACACATGTCATAGAGGTACATGTCATTCAATAAAGATGACAATACGAATGCTCATGTAGATGTCCATGCAATCAACAAAACTCCATCAAAGGAGCGCAAAGACAAGACCAAGTTCTGTGAATATTTAAAAAGCAAAACTAATAATACCACTGAATTCACGATGTTGAAAAGGGAGATAGATGAGAAGCAACTTGTTGGAAACATAGTTGACATTGCAAAAGATCTTAGCAAAATTTGATGAGGACAAACACCAGTCTAAAAATCAAAAGGATGGGGGAAAAGGACCACGATAAGAGGCCATAGATACTTACCATCACCGGGGTTCACCCAACAATCATCAAAGCTAACAAGCCAGGGAGATGGTGTACAATCAAAACATGCTTAAGATTGTTTTTTTAATGAGTGATCCCAGAGCAGAACATTGGGATTCGAACAACCTGTTGCACATTATAAGGTTTCTTAGCCATAACCGTGTTAAGCATGTATACATCGATAACGAAAGCATGGTCAACGTAATATTTAAGCACTGCTTTTGGTAGTTTCCAATTGAGTGGAAAGAGTACCTCCAGCCACCACAACAGGGCCTCCTAGTTGGGTTCACTGGTCATGGCATCTGGCCAGCAGGTACAATCATGCTCCTATTTACACTAGTCAATAATGATGGAACAAAAAAGGTAAAGAGGGTACTCGAGTTCTGGGTTGTTGACTATCCAATAGAACACAATATCCTACAGGTCCGACCTGCACTTTTCCATTTACAAACGATTCTGTCCACTCTCCAGGGCATTCTTAAATTCAGCAGAAGCGACGAACCAATAACGCTTATAGCAACCAGACCAGATAATGAATGCAGTGTCCAAAAAGAAACAAAGCAAGAAATCAAATCGTGTTAAAATGAAGGTTTCAAGAAGGTAGAGAATCGACAGGGAAGATCAGAAATAGCACAAATGTTGGTCAACGAGTCAAGGAAAACACATAAATATGTGTTTAGACAATTCACAACATCTCTTCCACGAAAAGAAACAAATGATGACCCAAAGATGGTCCAGCCAGAGCACCGAGCAAAAGTCATAAAGCAACGGAATGCCTACCCACGGGCAAGGGCGTTAGTATGGCTTACAATTGATGGACAAGCAATGCCTAGACAAAGAATGATTCGAGACTCGAACCGGATCTTTGCCCGTGTCAAAGATGAACCAAAACCCTTTGGGATGAAGAAGCTTAGAGCTAGAAACCAAAAATATAGTGACGGAGTGTCAATCACTCTAACACACAAGCTTTATTGTATAATAGAACTAAGTAATGTCTATGACGAACAAAACAAAACCCTGAAGAACCATGTGAAACACAAGATTGATAGGCGCACAGAAAAGAGCGGGTGACTTTCTCACCCAGCCGAGAGGAGACTCTTCCCACGATCGCAACACATGTTGGGCCAAGGGGAAGGGGAAGTGTGAGGGCTTGCAGAACATGGAGGACAAAATTCCGCTCTTCCACAGCAAGACCCGGTGGTGGAGGCAGACAGGAACCCCAAGCTATCAAAAACACTTGGCGAATATAAGAAAAGGATGCACAACCATGACAAGGTAGTCACAATGGAGCACCCGACTCAAAATAAAGCGATGGATGAGAAAAGGGAGTATGGTCACACTCTGCACATGATAACCATACTGTAAGTGCCGACGCAAAGGCCAGGCCCGTGCCCTAGCACTTATACATTTAGATTCTAATATTTTGTGTGTTTCCTTTTTAAGAGCTAATATAATTTTCATTTTGAAAGAGCTTTATAGAATTCTATGTAACCAATTACAAAAATATCAAGTAAAGAGGTTGTACATGTTTATCACACCCCCAATCCTGAACGGTGGAAACGTTCGGGGGTAGAGGACGCCATGTGTAGTATCACAACAATGCACAATAGTAATCAAAGTACAACATTCATTACATTAATAAAATATAGCTTTACATATGTGTTCAAATGATTATATATTTGACACCAAAAAGTATAATTTACAAACATAATAATATAATATTGTGTCTTCCTCAAAACCATTCAATACTTGTTTAATGATTTCCCGAAAATACAACTCGTTTTGTAAAGAGTGTCAACAATTAAGTTGGTGAGTTGATAAGTATGAAATGAAAATATTCTTTCATTTGTTTTTCTGTAATGTAAATATGTTCACCCAGAAAATCCTATATCTTCTGTTGTATATGTATTTGTATTTGAAAATAGTATAGTTTTAAATCCCCATAAAACAATAAAAAGTTTGTTTTCTCTGTATTTGAATAGTATCATGTATTTCTACTTGTACAAAGTTGTAAATATTAAGATTTTACCCTTTATAGTTTTATTATTATAAAAATATGTGAAGTTGTATACATATTATTCAATACCAAATTGTGAGTTATCATAACCATGATTGATGACCTAAGTCTCGCCTGAAACACGACGTTCTTCAGGCGTCGAAATATGATACAACAATTGTCACCACAGGTCTGCCGACCTAGCTGTTTCAAATAGCTCTGGTGCGGGATTGTCAGTTCCATATAGATCTATACACAAATGTTACGCTCTCTCTCCAAGAGACTCTGGTTATAATTTCAGGACTTTTGTTGTATACTTAAATAAGTACTTGAAGTGACTCTCACAAAAGCTATATTGATAATATGTAGGATAGTAAGAAGTTAATTTGTAATAACTATAGAAAAAAAATAAGTTTAATAAACTATATAAAATATAGTTTTGGATGTAGTAAAGTATTCATTTGTTTTCTAATGATTGTTTTATATTTCTATTTCATAGTAAGGTATTTCATTTGTTTTCTGATGATTGTTTTATATGTTTATTTCATACTAAAGTATTCCATTTGTTTAGTGTGATTGTTTTATATGTTTATTCTATTTGTATTATACTATGTTTATGTGTTTTGAAACTTGAAACCAAAGAATGTGTTCTCTAAACTATACCTATTATAGTTTAGTTGCTTGTTATTGTAATAAATTACGAACCGTAAAATAGTTTTTTTATAATAATCATAAACTAAATAATCAAATTTATTTTATTAATACAAGAAATCTTTGTATTTTACTTGTATTTCCCCTTAAAACATTATAAAAATAGTGAAAATATAGGGTTATGAACTCGGTTGATAGTAGTGAAGAATTGAGTAGCACTTCGTTGCTAGGAAAGGTTTATTTCTGGAAAGAGGGCCTGCGAGGGTTCGGATTTGGAAACCGAAAGACTCTCTTTTTTATTGACTTCTTGTGTCTCGTGATATATTTTAAGTGTTGAATATGATACTGGGGCTTTAGGGGGTTGTAAATAAGTTTTTGGGGGTAGAAAGTGTGAAAAATGTGAAATTTAGAGTAAAAAGTGTGAAGGAGTCGGAAGATATAGCACCATTATATAGGGGTGAGAAGCTGGTTAAGAAGAGAGGAGTCAGCAGGACACGCGGCTCGTAGGCGAGGGGGACATGAGGCGAATCTGGAGGCTACCACCGTGAAGCCACGCATCAGAAGGTGAAGCAAGGCAGGTGTGCGAGGCGAGTCTGCTTCTCATAGGGCCACACTTCAGTCGAATCAGAGACGGACACCGGGGGGGGGGGGGGGTCAGTCTCACATACGAGGTGACGTGGCCGGGTGCTGACCACGCGAAAATTCCCGGTTATTCATTAATTCTCGGTTCTTGAGCCAAAAACTTCTAAAATTCGTTAAACCGTGAGCGTACATAAAAAGAACCTCCAAATCTGACTTCGTATGAGGAAGTTATGATTTTTCCAAGTTCAGTATAGCGATAGACAGCTAAAAACTCAAAACAGAGATCGAGCGACTTTTGGCCGGAATGACCTAAATGAGAATCGAAGGTCTAGACAATGGTTTTTCAACGGTAAAAAAAAAAGTTTGGCAAAACCAGACATCGAATAAAGAAGTTATGGATTTCTAACAAACTTTTCTTACCCTGACCTTTTAAAAATAAAAAATAAAAATAATTTCAAAATTTGCTGACGGAGTCTAAACAAAAGTTGTAGAGCGTAGTCTCACCTACGCGTGGATATAAAGAACATCGAAAACGGAGTTCGTATGAAGAATATATGAATTTTTTTAGTTTACTAATTAATAAAAATATAAAGTTAAATCAAATTTCGGTATTATCCGAAGGGGGAGTCACCGGGCCAATCCGAGTTAAGCCTAGTTTACTCGAGGACTAGGCCTCGGATCGTCTACGTCGCCCCTATGTGAAGCTGCCTTGTCCTATCCGAGCTCCGAGGCAATCGAGGATGCGGTCACGCATGACGCACGCGTACGCCCAGCGTAACCGCGTACACCTAGCGTACCGAGGTGGTTCCCAGCCCCTATAAAAGGGATGCGATGGTTTCTGGGAAATTTCTCATTTTCTCTCATCTTTCTTGTGTTTTTGCCTCGTTTTTCGTGCACGTGATATCCCGAAGCCTCGGTTTCCATACTCAAGTTCCGAAGGTCATTTGTGCTCCTGAGATTCCCGAGAATCCCGAGAAAATCCGTTTTCTCATGTCTAAGTTCTGCTTGGTTTTCATCTCGCCTTCTTCGATCTTTCAAGTGAGTTCATACCCCTATAAACTATGGTTTTAAATGTTTGATAAATGCTTTTATACAATATTAAGGGGGGGGGGGGGGGGGGGGGAATGCAAGTAAACACGCGGTTATTATCGTGTGTAAACTAAAGATTTACTATATAAACTTTTTTATCTAAGTAATCATATGTGATTCATGAACTACTACATGAGTACTCTCCTATGAAATATATATATATTTTTGATAACACCTTGTCTTGTCGAAATAAAACGTGTTCATATATATATATATATGTGTGTGTGTGTGTGTGTGTGTGTGTGTGTGTGTGTGTGTGTGTATATATATATGTACGAATATAATGCTCCATTTTTACATTAAGTATATGTGATCAGTTATGTCGCTTTAAGTGTTATACTTTACATAACGAGTAAGCATTACACTAGTGTTTACTATATGAACAAAACACACTTTGAAAACTATAATAGGTATAGTTACGAAAAAATCATGAACATTTACTTACTAGGAATGCTATATCAAAGAGATATTTTCATATACAAGAACAAATGGACATTTTCATGCGTAAATCTGCTTTATACTAAATTTTGTGATACATTTCACGTACTTTCGATTATGCATTTTAAGTCATGTATTATATACCATAATCCTTTGTAGGGGGAGCGTGATACTTGTGTATAGATCTATACGGGATTGACAATCCCACACCTAAACTGTTAGCTACAGTTAGGCCGGTAGGCCTGGGGTGACAAACGTCACAACTTTCCAACGCCTGAAGAACGTTGATATAGGCATCCTCGTCAAGTAGCATGGTTATAAGAATCACATGGAGTATTAAAACACATCAATGTACGGGGTTTTTTTTTCAAATGCCATAACGATTTACATATAAAACTACTATTTTAGGCATGAAAAGCACTATTTCATTACAGTTTTGCAACAATCAAACTACCATCTACTATAGTAGAAAATATGGGATTTTCTTGGAACATTAAACATGAACAAACGATTTTCATTCTTTTTCATATAAACATTGTCACTAAATAATTATGAACTCACCAGCTTAAATGCTGACCTACTCTTTCAAAACCACTTGTATTTCTCAGGGATTCTGTAATACATGTAAACTGCAGCTTTCGAAGAAGGGACGTTGCGGCGTTAGTTCAATTTTATTTTAAACATCATATTGTAATTTCTTTTGAAACAAGTACCATTCAACAATGTAAACTTTTAAATTATATATATGATGTTTGTATTGCTTTCTTTACTATGTATTCAATTGTTACGATACTACATGAAGTCATTCACTCTCGAACGATTTCGCCGTTCTGGTTTGGGGGTGTGACAACGCGTAGGTGAGAATATAATCAACAACTCTCGTTCAGACTTTGTTGACTAATTTTGACTTTATTTTTAATATTATTATTTTTAACAAATCGGGACAAGAAAATCCGTTAAAAATTCGTAACTTCTTCGTCTAAAGTTCATTTTCGTCTGTATTTTTACCGTTGTACTACTATTCACGAGACCTTCGACTCTCGTTTTGGTTGTGTCGGCTAAAAATCACTCGATCTTTATTTCGAGTTTTTATTTGTCTACTGCTATTCCGAAATATAGAAAAATCATAGCTTCTTAATACGAAGTCAGATTTGAACGTTCTTTTTACATACTTTCATGGTTTAGCGTATACTACAACTTTGATTTAGATAGTTAAGGCTACAAACTATTTTATAGAAAACTTAATTTTTACGCTTACAGTGTTTTGTCGGTTTTGTCGTGGGTCTTCGTTTGGTCATAACTCATTCGTTATAAC